CGCAAACAGAACAGGACTCAAAGCAGCAAAAATGATAATGTTTTACTTATTCAAGTTTTTTTAGTCCCTCTGTTAACATTTTGGAATGCATCCTTGTTACACATTCACAGGAAACAGTGAATGCTTAGAAAGGCAAAGAAAGAATATTTCACGTTTTTAAATCTGCGTTTCCCTCACATTTGGACAAGGGTGTAAGTTGAACTCGAGTAAATTACAGTGTATTGTAAAGAGTAAATGGCCTCTCAGCCTCGTCCTCTCCTCGCTCTGTTCTCCTCTGCACACAGCTGCCAGACTAATCCTCCAAAAACACCAATTTTCATGCCCCACTTCTCAAGATCTAGCTTCCTGGCTCCCTGGTGCCTGACAAATCGTTCCCAGTGCTTTTGTCTGGTGGTCAAGGCTCTCTATGATGTGGACCCTCCCAAACCTTTCAGTCCTGCTCAGTTTTTCCACCAAGTACCAGTTGTGTGATCTTGGACTAGTTATTTAAAGACCCACCTTCTAACTGCCCTGGCAAAGGTCCCATGCGCCTCCTAGGCTCATTGCTCATTCGGGAATGCTCTGAACGGCCAATACGGGGTCTCATGCCAACCCCTGGAGGCAGGAGCCGGGGGTGATGTCGCCACCATCTAATCTCATGGACTAAGAGTGGGAATGGTGGTTTTCCAGAAGCAAGCTGGGGTGTTATTCTGAGAAATTATATGGCAAAACAGAGATCCACTACAACTGTCTTCACAAGTTCTGGACAAAATTTAACAAAATGAGTCTCCTATTTCAAAGATGAGGAGACAAACGAACCCCTTAACTCCCATTTGGGCCTCTTGCCAACCACACAATTCCACTGGGTATATCAAGCAAATTCACCTGAGGCACTGTCTCATTCTGGCACATAAGGAGCCCCCTGAAGTCCAAACATGACCATTGCAGATCTAGCCGCTTTTATGTAGATGAAACCCTGCTGGGGAGCCCTATTTGCTGGGTTCATTTGTATACAATGTATGAACCCTTTGAAATAATGAAGTATGTGGTTCAATAATATAACTTTTAAAAATATATATTTTATTGATTTTAGAGAGAGAGAAACATCGATGTGAGAGAAAACACTACTGGTTGCCTCCTGCACACACCCCAACCTGGGACTGAACCCACAACCCAGGTATGTGCCCTGACTGGGAATTGAACCAGCAACCTTTTGGTGCACAGTTCGATGCTCAACCAACTGAGCCACACCAGCAGGGCAGTAATATAACTTTCTATTTCAGGTTGCATAAACTGAAGTAACACCTAAAATGATATAAAAATGAACAAAAACAACATATTCCATGATGAATCAAATAAAATATATTTTGAGTTGTAGTTTCCCCTATTTGAAGATAACAATGTTCCTGATGATTGTCATGATCTATTTGTGAAAAGATACAAGACCAACAGTTTTTCCCCACTTAAGGCTGCAGCCAAATTGTCATGAATTAAGGTCTCAGCATTTGCCTGAGAGCCTCCATGCAAACAGGCAGTCTGAGGGTAGTCACCACCAAGCCACTCGTCTTCTGTACAACCTTTCTTCCACACACACACCCTTCCTGGTTTAAACTTTCATTACCCCAGTCTACAGTGAAACAATATTTGCAAATTTCTCTCAGTCATAAACTCCTAGGACTCAGGCCTTCTCCCTTTGGTTTCCCCAGGGCTTGGCATTTTGTTTGGTTAAAAACTGCATTCATGAATGTGACGGGTCAATCCACTGATCCATGCTCTATGCAAAAACACTATAACAAATACTGGTTTGTTTCTTGTAACAGAGGTGATAAGAGCCTTTCTCAAAAGACTAAATTCTGAGGAAAGAATGAAGACAGGAAGGTAACTAGTTTATTTATACCTACTATGTGACAGGTCACATAGTACAATATTTCATTGAATTTTCACAATCCTGCAAATTCTTATAGACTCCAAATTTTGGTTACTTGCTAAAGTAGCACAAACTTATGGCAACAAGCCTATGAGTGAAATCCAATATATCTGACTCCATGATTGCCAAGTCTGCAATCCCCAGTTTTGGAAAAAGAAAAACTGGGGCTGCCTGGCCAGGCGTGGCCCAGCAGTTGAGGATTGACCTAGGATCCAGGCGATCAGGGTTTGATTCCTGGTCAGGGCACATGCAGGCTAGCTGATCAATATCTCTCTCTCTCTCTCCCTCTCCCTTCCTCTCTTTGAGATCAATAAAGATATATTTAAAAAAAGGAAAAAAAGAAAAACTGGGGCTCATCAGAGAGCAGTGCAGCAATGGCAGCATGAAATTTAACATGTGATTCCAAGATCCAAGCATGCTTTAGGTGCTCTTAAGAGATGCTGAAAATGTCCATTTTAAAGAGTGTTTTAAAACACTCTGGGCAGCAATAAGTTGCTCTTATTGCAAGAGGCATAATGTGACAACAAATAGATTGTGTCTAAACCCTTTGGGAACTCCAGTGCTTAAGAATTCTTGTTAAATTACCTTTTTTTTTTTTTTTGGTCAATTGCCACAATAATAGCTTCCATTTGCATTATACTTTATAGTTCACACAGCTCATGAGAAAAAGAAAGGTCATTATGGGTATGGTTGCAATTCATAAGCAAGGAGGTACCATGAAATGGAATAAAAGGGGGAAAAAACCTACATAGAGAGCGAGCCAATCTTCCTTTAAAAAATTTAACCTTAAGATGCATTTCTTCCACCCATCTTCTATTTGCTATAATAAAGAATGCGAGTGATAGCAAGATGAAATATGTAGTCCGGAGCTTTGAAAAACACACCAGCTTCAGAGCAATGCTCAGGTTGCTGAGGTCCGGTTGCTAACCAGAGAGGCCAACTTGGTAGGTGGTTCCTGATAACCAACCTCAGAAAATAACTCCACCATCAGATGTGCAGAAAGAACCACAAACCAACCTCGAAGTGGATGCTAAGAGAAAATACCCTTACAAAAGTTTCCCGTCTAACCAGAGGGCAGGCCAAGAGGAAGTTTACCGGTCCACCCACAGATTTCCCCAGAGAAATTTCATCTGAAGGTACTTCTCCCCTCAGGCACCCGCGGGACTCTGCTCCGAGTGTCTGGTGTCTTCATGGCACGTCTCAGAGAATAAAGCCAGTCTGGAGAGTGCCATGGGCCTCGGGACCACCAAGCAGATGGGGAACGGCGCACAGCCGGGCCCTGGTCGCCAGGAGGGTACGTAGACTTTTGCTGCGTTTCTTCAGAGCTGAGTTTTTAGCCAGAGGCTGCTCCTTTTGGTTGAACTGCTAATGCTAATATTGTGCGCTGAAAGCTACTAGTTGTCTCTCTCAAACCAATTCCTATCTTCCTATTTTTGTGTGTTGAAGGCAGATTATCTAAAAGCCCTTAAGAGATTCCTTTCCAATGTAAGCTACCCATCACTTCTGTATAATAGATTTGTGATTGATGATAGGTTTACTTAAAGTATAACAATCTTAAACAGTATATTCTTAGTAAACTTTCCCGGTCTGTGCTCACGTAAGTAATCGGCATAAAATCCCTATGAATTAAAACTTAGTTTAAGAACCGATC